TTCTGGAAGTTGAAGGAACTCATGATCTCTTTGAGCGCATACTGTTAATAAGTACCATGGAGAAGATAGACCTGGAAAAAGTCCACTAACACCAGTCCCATTATCACTAGCACATAGCGATGGAAGCATGACTACCACAGACAAATCAAAGCTCATGCACAGGCTTGAAACTCATTTGAACAACCCTCCAATACCTATTGCATTGTAGATGCTTCTTTCCTCTTGCATACTCAAAGGAATCCTCTAATGTTGTTTGGCCAACTAGCAGAATCCCTTCTCTGTCAAATAACTTGTATGGCTCAACAGATGCACCTAGTCTGTGATGTATATAACACCCCATCTATCAAAGATGCTGAGCGACAAAGAAGAAGGCAGATGAAATGGTATACAACATCACTGGGCCTGATCAAAATAGGTCCAAGGATTGGCAGAATGCACTTCGATCTCCCTCCTTGAAAACCCAACTCATGAAATTTCTGGCAGTTGAGTGGATGAATACATCTTATGTACAAATGCTTGTGAATTTTTCTGTGTATCTTGCTGTTGATGACAAGTACTACTGCTTCACTGCAACCAGTGGTGAAGTCAGCAGAAGAAGCTGACACCAGAATGGTGTTTCACCTTGACTTCATAGCTCAAGTGCAAGATGCAGTCAAAATATCAATTAAAAGTAATGATACAGATGTATTGATCATACTGCTAAACTACATTGCCAATACTGACACTGACATCAATGTATGGTTAGATGCAGGACTTAATACTATCAACACCAGAAGATTCATCAGTGTCAACAATCTTGTGGATAATCTTATAAAGGAAGTTACACATGCCTTGCCTGGATTACATGCACTGACAGGGTGTGATTATTCTTTCTCGGCACTTTCAATTGATGAAGAACATGCATGTTTTAAAACATTTATGGCTACACTTGGAAATGAACCCTTGGTGACAGACACTGTCAAGGCTTGTGAGAAATATGTATGCTATTGTATCGACAATCAAAGCTGTCTAGTGTAAACCAAGCTTGTTATATGATATATAAAATACATGTATATGCTAAAAAGTGTTTGGATGAAGGTGTTAACCCAAGTTCAATGTCTCCATGTTCCGCTGAAGCAGTTGGAGAGGGGAAAAAGGCTGCATTCCAAAAACCCTGGTTATCATTCACCTGATAGGAATGGTAACGTCTGGTTGATGGTGTGTATCAAATCCAATGGTATGATGGAGAACAGCTGCCAACTGATAGAGAGCTCTCAATCTGTCAAATGAAACATCAATTACAGATGAACAGGAAGACGAAGATGTCACTTATGGTGAAAACCTGTATAGAGCTGGTGACATGGACATGAATGAAGATGTTGTTTAACATGAATTGTCTAACATTCTTGCTATAAATGGTTCAACTCGACAAACAGTGAACTGTATTCAGTTTTAGATTTTTGTTGAATCATGTGATAACAAATTATTCATACTGATCTACAGAAAATATGGTATGGACTCAATGCCATAACTGATAATAATGATAGAAATTATTATGTATGTTATAATGAATCTGGATGGAAATTAAATTATTTTGTTTGCCACACATATTGCGTCTAAGTTATCCTAATTTCTCATACATGTATTGTTTCATAGCCATCTTACAATGGCTTATAATAGCATAGTTATTTAACTACTAGTAGATATTTGCATAGGACAAACAGTGTCCTAAGCTAATTTAACCAGAATTTACAATGTTTGTAAAGAATATTTTGATTGCATATATAATATGCAAATGTCTGTCAATATGGCAGCCATTTTGGATTGTACGAGAAACATCAAACATACATGTATCTTCATAATGAAGTTAAATGAAATAATAAGATTTAATGAGCTTTACAAACTATGATATAACTAATTATGGCCCAAACATGTGTATGCAGTATGTTTTCTAGACTTACATGTAGGTCTACCGATGTGCTTCTCAGAGATAAATTTCTGAATTGCTGAGTAAACCCTCATAACCTTGGACAGTTCTAGTTCTATTC